AAACCGACAGCGTCTGCCAACGCCCCAGATAATTGCATGAGTAGTGGCCAGTAAAACTGCCACCTGAAAGGATGCGAACGTACCGGCGGCGGCGGCGGTGGCAGCAAACTAATCAGGCAGATGTTCTCGGGTCTGGGTAATAAGCCATCGTGGCGGGCCGGTGGCAGCGGTTTCTGCAGTACGGCCGGGGGTGGCTGCAACGCTACTTCTGCCAGACGAAACCGCGAAGTCCGATGACGACACGGCTACCATGACAAGGTGCAGTCTGTCGTCGCGACTACGTTTTCATCGGAAATGAATCAAAAGGCCGGGAGCAAACAACCTTGAGAACATTACCGAGATCATGCGGTTTTTTTCTGTCCAAAATTAGAGGTAAACAAAACGCACAGGATTCAACTAGTCTAATTTGCTTTCGTGGGCGAACGATACAAAAGTTGTCTTACAATTGGCTTTTTGCGAAGATGAAAAGGGGGCTGTTCGGGACGGGGACAGGGATGCTGTTTAGGCATATGGCGGTGGACTATTACTAGCGGGCTGGCACCTACGTCCGTAAACCAATAGTTACAAATAAATATTATTTGCAAGCTATCACGATAAACGTGGTTGGCCGATTCACTTCAGATGCGTTCGCAAATCGGGAAGCGCACATGACTAAGAGTATATAAAATGAAATGTTCGCTATCAGTATGTTTGTTCGAAAAAGTTGACCTGGGATGAACGAGCAAGAGAAGAAGTCGGAAGGGGAATAAGGAATGAAGAATAGGAGAAGGAGAAAGAGAAGACAGAAAATCAATTGAAAGAATGGGAGTTTCATTCAATCGACGTTTTGTCCTCGCTTGCCAACAGCTTATCCATAACAATTGCAAATAGAAGAGTGCAGTATTAAAATAAGGTGATACGTTCAACATGAGAGGTTTAGCTGAGCTATGACTTTTCCAGTAAGCGTTTTCTTTGTCCAGCGCTTTTTTATTGATACGTAGGCATCCAATCCCGACTGTGAGACTAAAAATACCCTTCATTCCAATATGACGTACTTTGCCTGCTTAACATAGTCGGTATGACAGCCACCACGCGTTTAAACATCAATGAGCGAGGTACGCACGCAATAGGGATGGGTGGAATCTTGTTGCAACACACCGGCCGTCAAACGGGGGAATATGAAGCTCCTCGAAAACACCTACTCGCCAGCGGCTGCAACTGAGTAAATAAATGGGAGCGGAATGAATATTAAAAGCAGTCGAAACCATGGTGGAGCATTACATATGTGAAGGGTGTCTCCGAAGCTGTGGTCAGATCCCTAAC